ACGATAACAACACACGCTGAAAACGCAAAGGCTCATGGGTAGACGCTTGTTTGGAAACAATTGCACGCTATGGCCATCTGACGCATGCGCAGGTGACGACCCCCCCCCCCGCTTTAAAAGAACGACACGTTACGGCTAAATAATACAAAAGCGTGTTTTATGTATTTTCTGGTAGTTAAAGTACTGCTATGAGGTAGTACTACTTTATTTAACCAATAAAATAACGTTGTACTAAAGTAATATTTTATAGCTGGTTAATAAGCGTTATACAGTAGTAATATATTAATTGGAAATTATTCATTCTATATCTTATGAAATAAGATGTCACATAATTTGTATAGCACTATGTGAACTTAATAACAGTTTCTAATAGGTTAATAAGGTATATTTCATTTATGTAAGTTTTAGACTCGTGACTCACAAAAGGCGACATCATATACGCGATGAGTTTGCGATCGCCCTCATGGTATATACTACTGCAGATTACAAAGCTTATCAAGATAGGAACAATATATATGGACCTCTTATTGTTCACATTCGCTAGGCAAACGCGCACGAATAGCACTTCAATAGAAAAGGTTTATAATGGTATTGCTCTAAAGTGATTCGGCCTGTTATCGGGGTCAACTATTTTAAGACATTTTCTTAAGAGAGGCCCGCTGATGAAAACGTCCTTTGGAAATCAAGAAAAAGCTTTCCTTACAATAATTATTATGTCATAACCACGATCTACACATAAGGCCAGACTTTTATTATCCCTTGTTTCGCGAACCCGTCGATTGAAAAGGAGCCGAAAATGAAATAAAAATAACATTTTATTTCTGTTAATCAGCGTAATTTCTCGCGCCCGCCGACTTGTGAGTGCAAAAAATTGCTAAAAAAATTATTTTTATCTTCATTTTTTTTCCGCCCGCCACCTAACAAATCCAAGTTGCATTTTCATGGGAGTATCATGATCAAAGTACCGAAGTCTCGCGCAGAAGTATACTTTATGCGAGTTGGTTAACAGTGAATCTCGGGTATTGTGCGTGCTGCTTGAGACTACTAGGCGAACATGGCGGCGGCGTGGTTTGTGGTGACACGCCATGAAACCGAGAAATCCCTCATTAATGCTGAAAATTGTGCCACAATTGTCGACATTGCCAACCAGGTTATGCATGAAATAGAATTTTATTTCATTTCTTCTCTCCGATCAATGATCTCACTTACAATTCTTTGAGAATCACACAAATCTAATGGAAAAATATAATTATTTTTATTTTTTTCCAGCTCTCCTCAAAAAAATGTATAACAACTCGAGAAACAAGGAATACAAAAATCTGGCCTGAATGACAATAGCAACACACCACCGTGGTGAAGACTTCAATTGAGATGGCATAGACGGGTGTGTCACCAAAACCAGTCCGCTTTTTTCAACTCGGTAAAGGGTTCACCTGCTGAAGTGAGCTGTTTTAAACTCCAGTATTGACAGGGACCTAATTTCAGCAAAATAACACTTGAAAATAGACAAAGTACTGTAAAACATGTTTAAATAGACACATGCCATTTTTAAATTAGCAAATTTGGATCGATACATGAATTAACTGAATCTTAATTTAACTAAAGTGCCGACAATCTCATTGTGAGAATATAATTTATTTAAAATAGTGACATCTTGAATTAGCGAAATTACAGATTAGCTAAATTAGCTAAAATAACATGCTAGCTATAAATACATGTTTTACAGTATATCGAGAAAACGCGTTCCCCAAACATTGGGAATTAATATATCAGGTGCGAAAATAGTTCAATGCAAATCCAATGCAAAGGTATCTAAGTATCTAAGTCGGCGTGTGAACTTGAAATATTACCATCTTAATAGTCGTTTAGAAAATCTAACGCCAAAATCTATACTTCAAAAATAATGGAGCTGTATTTATCCCAGGAAAATTAGTGAAACTGTTTCAATGAATGATATATTCAATTATACTATAAAAACGTTATGTGAAGTGTCATTTCGACTCACGCGAAATTTGATAGAAAAATATCATAGACGTAGCCAAATAATATTGGTTTATAGTCAAGAACATACATATATAATCAATGATTAGATATGAGCTGTTATTAAGATATGAAAAATTGAAAAAAGCTAGGAGTAAACTTTCCACCTATGTACATTCTACATGCTTTTTCATACCTTGAATAGCAGTACAGCCAACACAAATAAGTTCGTCGTTTTACAAAAACATGTTTGCTGTACAAATAAGAATTGGGGTATATTATTCCAAGCTGTAGCAAAATAGAACAAAATAATATAGTGATCATAACTACGTGTGCCGTTGCAATAACACAGATGCATAGCTGTAGCGTGAACAAATCCTCACCTGAAAACAACAACGCGGTTCCATGCAGACAGACGTTTTACTCAGTACAATAGACAGCGTTACTCAATGCCCATACCGTATGAGTAAGTACCTAACCCAAGCAAAATTTTTGTCTTCTGGTCACTGGCATAATTTTTTTTGAAAAATAGACGGATGTCACGTGGCCGATAACGTCGTCGAAAAAAAGAAAGTTAATCAAAACGGAATTATCTTTTGTCTTACATCATATAAATACTTTTTTTATAAAGTGATAATGTTGCTAATCTCAAGACCGTGGCACTCATTGGATTTCAATGAAATTTTATATTCTGGGTTCATTGGGTTGATTTGCAGACCTGGTTATTTTTTCAAGCGTTTGAACTCTGGCGATCGTTTCAATTTTCAATTGATTGCGTGTATAAAAGCAAACTATATGGTATTATTTTGTTGGCGTACTGAGATAAAGATTTCGCACCTCAATACAAATGTGTATCAAGGCGCGTCTTCACGTAGGTACCCATAAATAAAATCTATTTTGACACCTTTCGCAATGGGTGGTATGGGTGTATTTCAAATGTTTTATTTAAAGATCGATGACCGTCGCACCCCGTCAGGTTCGATATAGCGCCAGCAGCGATAATACAACAAATGAGTCAATCCTCCCTAACCCCACACACATGCTGCCAAGTATTTATAGTGTGTATTTTACCAAGATATGACAGTGAGGCAACGTCCAATTAAATGAACCCTGGCTGGGTTCATAGAGATGGAATTGTTGTATTTCAAACTGTTAAATAAATATTGTGTTGTTGTGAGCGAAATTTTAGTGAAAGGGTTATAATGGCGGACTAGACAAAACTTTTTGTTTGTTTGTTTGGAATTTAAATCATTTGCTCCATGTGTAAAATGACCAAAGTGAATTGTTCAAGCTTCAGGCAGTGTCGTCTATTGGGAGTTTAATTGTAACCCAGGACCTGAAAAGCGTCTCGATTCTTCCGTTCTCAAATATTTCATTTGGCTCAGACAAATACCGTTCCATTCTCTGCCGCCATCGCGTCTACAGATCCAAATAATATGGTCACGTGGAACGGGGGGGGGGGGGGCAGGTACACACCTAGTTGGGAATGCTTCCAGCAAGTTGAAATCTGGACACAAACAAATTTACATTGATGACGTTTTGTGTGTGTGTGTGTGTGGGGGGGGGGGAGTCATATGACTCTCGCCGTCAACGATAGTTCGGCGGCCATAAGTACAATCGAGATCTAAGTAAATCAATCAGACCTATTTTTAAAGCGTCCGCATTCAAAAGACAATTCGATAATGTGCACATACTGTAACAGGCCAGGAACAACAACTGCTACATCCAATGTCGTATGGCAAAATATCTGTAAAAAACAAGTTTATTCTTAATTCTTAAAATTGTGTGCTTTAAAAATTAAAATATTGTTTTATACCTGTTTACCTATAGGATGCCATGAATTCTGAAGTAGCCGTGACGATTAAAGTAAAGCAAAATGCGTTACTGAATAATAAAAGTAGACTACAGCATGACGTGAGCTCGGTGCATGTGTAGGCTGGTACCAGCGACGCGGGATCATGACAATATCAGCCTTGCTCAGCTCGATAATTGTGTTTTCAACAAAAAATAACATGCGATGACAATCACTGCGCATCCAAAGACAACTACATACGCTAAACGAGTTTCGTGACGGTAGAACGGAAGATCATCAATTCCATCTCCAAGGTGACCAATATCGTCGTTGCCGATCAACCACATTAAAGAATCTGATATACGTGGGCGAGCTTAAAAAATAATAATAAAAATAATCATAATTAATTTGTAAAAGAATAAACATGAATAATATAGATACATCTATTTTGTCTCTTTTTATAAAATAAACATAATTATTTCAATTACCGATAGGTAATTAAAATGTATGTTTAATTAGTTCAAAGTTATCAGAAAAATAGATAAATATTTGTATCCCCAATATTCGACTGAACAAATCCTGATGCTCAAATAATGATTAATATATGAACATTTAAATTGTACTTTTTTTATACCTACGTTTTTTATTCGTCAACTGGAGTGTCACTTCAAAGGAACGAGTTATGTAACTGTCTGACAATCGGAAAATCCTCCTGCACTGATAGCGCCCTCTAGTGAAAACTACATCCTTTATGACGAGATCTCCCTTGTTCTGTATGATGTCGTATCTGTGGTCGATAGAGCAAGCAGCGTTGTTGTTCTCCATGTCGGCAAGAAGTAGTTGACCCCACGGAACGTTTTGATCGTCGATAATTCTATACCACTCGACGATGTTGTAAGTATATTGTGCTGATGGTTGGTAATTCTGACACGTCAGGATGACGTCATTCCCAGTAATAGATGACTCATCGTACGGGTACAATGCTACAGGTGTTGTCCGGGTCGCTAACGTTCCGCCAACAACTGTAAGAAAAAGAAATTTTCCTATGATTCATAAGCGTGGCGTGGTATTCTGTGGATTATCCCAGTTCGTCTCAAAACTGTAGTATTTTTTTCGGACTCGGAGTCAATAAGCTCTCTATCACCGAGTCCATTTAATTCGTCGCAAGTAGTCACGGTCAATACATCAATGTATTGGCAATGAATCAATATCAGGAATTATCTAGCGAGTCGTCGGGACGAAGATGAACTATATACCCGGATGTAACTAGCACAGTTGTGTACAGCGGCTCTGTTACTGAACACCGTGACGCTGTTGGTTCACGTGCAGATGTATAATGAGTTGATAGATTAGCATCATGATAGCGATGTATTACATGTATTAGAATTTTGATACATAAAAACTATGTCAGTACCAACCTCAAGGCTTAGTGGCGTACTTGAAATCACTGAAGTTATGCTTCATAGGGAGGGGAGTGCACACTTGTTCTTGTAGTTAATGTGATCATGTTCAAAGGTATGGTGTATCTGCAGTGTTATGGTTCAGGTAATACGATTTTGTTATTTGTTCTTCCGGCTTTCCAGCGCAATTTATAATAATTGTTTTCATTAACATAAGTGGTGTTCGTCGCACCGCGTCCTGTTCGCTATGGGTCTCCATAGCGACGTACAAACGCGTGTACAATACATTGTCATTGTTTGTTTACCTAGGGCTCAGACAATAGTCTTCATATAGCCTAGACTTCGAACACGCACTGCGCGAAGACCTCCTCCTTCGTTTGAGTTTGATTGAAATGGGATTATTTAGATATTGACGAATCTGCAATGGGATATAATGTGGCGAGCGTTTGTGAGTTACAATCTTATACAGAGACGCAAACACACCGAGAAAGAGTTGTTATTGAAAATTTGGAGCGTCACCTGCGCGCACGCGCTAGAATTGAGTCCCAAGCGACGATAACAGCACACGCTAAAACGTGAGGGTTCGTGGGGAGATGCTTGTTTGTAAACAATGGCACGCTATGGCAATCTGGCGCATGCGCAGTTGACGACTTCCCCACTTCAAGATCGCTGGCAACGATTGGCTTCGTCAACTCACCTGATATTAGTCTTGGTCACGTCATCGTTAAAAATACGGCCAATAATGCTATTTTGACAGTTTTTAAGTTGGGTACAGTCCAACTGGGGAATCCCCTTTCGCTTTCGTTGCTCAAGTGGTATGAAGAATTGTCTGTGTCGCTGCTTCTGATTTCGAATTACAGATAAAAAATGGCCAATTTGCCAAGCTCCGACTGTTACCGTTAATTCAAGTTGGCAAAATGCGGAAAATTTGATAATTTCTTCTTTCTAAATAATTACAGTTTGACGGCGGCGCACCATCGATCACGTATTCTATGGGAGCGAAGCTAAACCACAGAACATTCGCACCAGTGTACCGTGTATTTGTATGGGCTCTGTATGAGCTGCCGTGGAACGCCGATCGAAAAGCCGGTGGAAACAGCCAAAGTCGAGAAAACAAAGTCAACTTTGAAATAATCCATATTGATATATGTTGCACATGTAGGGGGGTAATCTTCTTACACTGTTCATAGTACAAAGTACAGTTTTCTGGGAGTGACGATCGTCAGGTAGTGAAAATGTCCGGCTGTCCGTCCGTTCGTGACCGCGACGCGTGTATCGTACGTGTGTTTAATACTACGTAATGATCTCGTAATTATGATACAGTGAATGTGAAATTAATAAAAAAAAGTAACCCTACCTTGAAAAAGAACCAGGAAAAGAATAAGTTGCCTTGTCAATGTTATGTCCATGATCAATAACTTGAAACAACGCGTTTAATAAGTACCTCTACTAAGAACCTTAGGTGTATATTCTGGCGGATGACTCATGCGATTGGATGATTCTAGAATTCGCATTGCATCATGCTAATGTGTTTATTTCAGATTAAACCTTTGTTGATAGAAGAAAAGAAACTTTCCAATTATATGATAGCGTCGTGCGGAAATCTCCTATTTCTTTGGGTGTGGGTAAGCGGGGAAGGGTAGGGGATGTAAAACGCCTGATATTCTGTGTGATTATGAAGGCAAATCGTAGTTATAGTCGTGTTAATTTTGGGTTATGGTGGACAAGCGTTGTCCAGACAAAATACTCCCTACACCAACGAAACACATTACAATATAGAATAATATACTAGTAGTATACGGTACATCAGTAATTGGAAAAGTGGAGGAGAGAGGGCTAGTTAAATTTCTGCACGTTCTCGACAGAGACTTTCAAATCATAATAGCTAAAGTGCAACTCCAGACTAAAAGATATTGCTCACAGATTAAAGAGCTCCATATTTCCAGGAGAATGCAATTGATAGTTTTTTTTCTTTTAAATAATACTTTTTATTTTATAGATCCTAAATTTCTCATCAGTATATGCAGTCTAGCATTTTTGTTTCTGTCTCCCGGCCTACTTTATTTGTTTTGTCGGACGTCCAACCTAGTAAATGTATATTTCATTTCCGTCCAAACCGCTGCAATTCTGTCACGACTGTACTGTACTGTAAGTATAACATATGGAGTGCCCTTTTCAGTGACTACATCACGACCAGCTCGGACTGGTTAATATTGCCGATTAGAAAACGTCACATGCTTTGAATATCGTGCCTGTAAATACACATGCCTTATGCTATGTATTAACCACGCGGTATCGTATTGCCGGGTGTAATGTAAAGTCTGACAAGTCCGAGTGTGAGTGGCGCCCTAGACTGGGGTTCACAGCAGTACAAGGCGCCACTCACGGCAACTTGTCAGGTTAAGTGTAATCAGTGGCGGATCTGGGGGGGGGGGGGAGGTCCGGTTGAAAAGTTCATTTAATTGAATTTAATTTAATCATTAAGTTAGTCTGGCGATTTTAAAGTTTGGAACCCCTTCCCCTCCCCCACCCATAAAAGAATCCTGTATCCGCCCCTGGCAATGCGGATATATTAAAACCAGTGGCGGAAGTTTATTTGAAACTGGATGATCATTGAATGCAAAAATACCTCCATGCATGTGATAAGTCTGAATAGATTACATTGTACTTCATAGTAGTCAAGTTAATTACTGGTGGTATGCGTCTACTTCGATTCAAACCATCGACAGTGAAAGCGTGAAAAAAACACCCCGCTAGCCCACCCCAATGACAGACGGCAATTATACAGGAAACATTCTCTGTCGCTTACTGATTCAGTCAAGGACTCGGGGTTAACCCGGAAATACTGACGCAAAAAATACCATCATTTGATACGAAAATAAGAGTAGATTCGTGACAGTTCGCGGGTGTACTTTACTTTTATGTCTTTCAAGTTTTTTTTTACGTTTCAGTCAGCAAGATTCTAGTATAATGTGGTCCGCGTACACGCTTACTGAACGAAGAAAAGTACTTACATTCAGGTACAACGCGGTTCGACGACCAAAGCTTGCAACGGCTGAGCTCTTTTCGTGGATGTTAAAAAAAACGCCCTTTCTATCACAAGCGCATAGCGCCAGTAACTTTGAAACCATGTAGAGAGATAATTTCGTGTTCTAACCGACTTCTAACACGGCTAATGTTATCAACGTCGCGCGTATCTCTTGCGATTTCTGTCACCGCGCTAGTATGTTTGTTTCACCGACTGACGATCTCGTTACTTATACTGTTATTTTTAGCGTCAGTGTTGATTCTAGTCTATGTTCACCTTGATTTGACATAGAATTTATATTTTGGTTTTATTTACTTGCTTTACTTTCTAGTTTATCAGCCGGCAGCTACTATGAGTTTACAATTATTTCTCAGTATTGATTCAAATCAACGCGACTTTCGCTACAAAATGATCAACAAAATAAAGTACCAGATACTTTCATGCGTCCGCTCTGAATAAAACAACAAACAACATGTTAAAGTGCACAATTTCAAGATTTTAAAGGGGCACTTCCAGTTAAGCCTAATCTCACAACAAATTTACTTTCTGGATTAAAATGGATAACAAAAGATAGATTAACTTTGTAAACAACATAAACAATAGTGTCCCATGGTTTTTTGGTGCAATCCCTGGGATTGGTCGGTTCCCCTTTAAGGACGATATTACGATTTCAAATATATACACAGCTCGCCTCTCAAACAGTCTTCGGTGAAATCCAAAATACAACACCAAGGTCAAATATAAGAATACCGTAATACAGCGTTACTTGTTTTAAAACAATAGGAACCCACGACAGGAACTATGATAATAATGTTTATTTTCTAAAACTAACGATGATAACTACTTCGTAAACAAAAAAACGCATATTACACATGTAAATATAAGCTGT